GGAAATGTATCGAGTTACGATTTGATTGACTTCCCCCCCTCCAAACCACTGCGTTGGGCAAGTGAGTGAGTGAGTGAGTGCATGGAGCCCTTTTTTTCGCTTGGTATTACAAGTAGTTGAGTGTGGGAGAAGGATTCATATTGTATTTTGGTTCAAATATACAACAAGCTGCGCTCGGGGGCGTTTCCAGGTCTCTCCGAGGCGAGTAACATGTGATGTATTTCATTTTCCATTCCTGAATGCCCCCCCCCTTTGTCTAATCCAGACTTCTCTCCAGCAGCACACATACACTAGGGGTCGGCAGCAAGCGAATTTTGTGCCGGTGCCTTGGCTGACAATGCTGGAGACGGGGGGGGGCAAAGAAAAAAAGGTTTAGGTACTAATCCAGCCTATCCGAGATGATCCCGTCCCAGCGGACAGGTTCATAACCAAGAAAACACTATAAATATCCTCAAGACATTATTCGACCTCTTTCTAAAATAAACTCGACCTCGCCTGCTTCCGACCTCACTACATACCTCGTAGCAAGGACGTTTGACACGAGGCTTCGGTGGGGGTATAAACATGGCAAGCCAAAGAGGCAAAAGCGGCCGCTGCTTGCCCCAATTCCCCCCTTTCGTAAAACTCGCTAAACTTTCATGCAAGAGAATGAGAGATTATGAGAGAAAGAGAGAAAGAGAGAGGAGTCAATGAGACAAAGCAGGCATGGAGAAGAGAAGTTAAACAAGCAAGACGCATAGCCACAGATCTAGAGGCATACAATCTCAGATCGAGGAAACAAAAGAAAATCAGAATAAGAGCCCGCTGAAACGTTCCTCATAAAAAAGACACCTGACTTTGACGGCTCAACGGCTTACAGCGCCATACCAGGAATCGGCTTCCGATCAGGAATGGGAAGAGGGCCGGTAGGGGCTGGGGCGTTGGGGTTGAAAGGACTAGGGCCGGGAGCTGGGCCACGTCGTGGGTTACTAGCTCCACTTGCCGAGTTGGATCGTTGGCGACCACCGATTTGAGGTGGAGGTGCCATCTGGGGTCCGCCACCATAAGGACCGGGTGACATAGAGCGTTGTGGGCCAGCAAAAGGTGCGTTGCTGTTGGCACGGCCGCGAGGAGGGCCTTGCTGAGGAGCATTGCTGTTGGCGCGACCACGAGGAGGTCCTTGTTGAGGAGCGTTACCGTTAGGCTGCATTTGACGAGGGCCGGGGCTCATGGGACGAGGACTTTGGGAGTTCATAGCGGGCGAAAGAGGACGTGGCTGAGGTCCACCAGCTGGACCCATGGGCGGGCGGACAGGAGGGCCGCGCATGTTACCTGGGGGAGGGCCTTGACGGGGCTTGACAGCGTGCTTGGACAGACATGTACGGGGAACGACACCTTGCTGAGAGCGGTCCATACGGATACATAGAGCCTGAGAATGATTAGCGGGTTGGTTCTGATATATTAAAGATGTGTGCTTACCCATCCATCATCATATTCATGGAGCATGCGGACAAGTTGGCCGGCGCGAAGTTCAAGTTCATCTTGCATAGAGGGCTTAAAGTCAAGTTGGACACGATGTACATTGTTGGGACCAGGAGCGAGGGCTGGGCTCTGAGGGGCGCTACCAACAGCGGCACCAGCGATGGGAGGAGGACCAGTGGGCGCGGGACCAGGAGACGCAGGGAGACTTTCGGTAGCTGGAGGACTGAGCGGAGCGTTTGCAGAGTTGGTGCTGGTCGTCGGAGGGGCAGGGAGCTCGGCTGTAGGGGCTTGAGAGGTGGGAGGAGGAATTGACTTGGCTGCAGTCACGGCAACAGCGACAGGGGCAGCATCAGCGGCAGCGATTGCTGCAGCGGGATCAGCAAAACTGGCGCTGGGTCTTGACGAGTGCATGGCAGAGTTTAGTGGGGAGGCATTAGGAGGCGAGTCCGGAATGGAGGCTTGCTGAGTATCGACAGCAGCCTTGTTTCCAAAGGGGTTGGAGGGTGGGGGACCAGATGGCGTATCGGGATCTTTGAAAGGGTTAGCAGCAGGAGCGTTGGATGCTCCAGGGCGCTCCCAGGCACTTGTTGGGCGCTCAGCAGCTGCCGAAGGTGAGAGGCTCTGGGCTTTGGCGGCCCCAGCGGCAGCGGCTCCGGCAGCACCACCGGCGGCGACAGTGTTGAGCAAGTTTGCTGCACTCTTGCGCTGCTCGAAGCTGGGGTCGAATTGAGTAACGGGGCGAAGGCTCAAACGGGGTGCGGTCTCAGCGCTATGGGCAGAACGAATGCTAACAGCTGGGGGGGCAGCGGCCACGACCTGAGGCGGTGGAGGAGGAGGCGCATTTCGCATTTCAGTCTTCTCATTCTCCGCCGCCGCCGCAGCTGCAGCAGCCATCTGCTTCTTCTTACGGCGGTACATAAGGAGGATTCCGGTCAGGATGGCGCAGATGACGAGAAGGATACCGAGGGCGAGACCAGCCATTGCGCCAGTAGACATGCCACTGTCGGAGCCGGGGGCAGCAGTGGAGGAAGCTGTGGCAGAAATGGCGGCAGTAGCAGAGATGAGGCCTGCAGCAGATGAAGCCGGGCTTGGTTCGGGAGACTTTGTTGCGAGCATCAGGGTGGACGCTGTCTTGGTCGAGCTCGATGGCTGGTTGGTCTGACGGGATGGCTGGTTGGTCTGGCGTGCAGTTTGTTCATCGTCGTCCGAGTCCTGGGTAGAAGATGGCCTTCTTGTGGGCCTAGCTGTCTCCTCGGGCTCGTCATCGTCCTGGGTAGCGGTGGTACTCTCGCGAGCGCGGGTGGCAGGTGGAGGGAGGGCAATTGGCTTCTGGGTAGGCACAGGGGCGTCGTCGCCTCCCTCAGTGGCAATTACGATCTCGGTGACAATCTCGACGGGTCCTTGACGTTGTCGGCGCATGAGATGCGCGTGGGCATGCTGGTAGGCCATGTCGTGGATCATGGCGTACAGGCGATTAGGAGTTTATGGAACCAGGTGCAAATATCGCTTCACGGGAACCGGCTCTTGGATTAATGTGCGGCGTGGTGTTTGCAAGCAGTGAAGGCGGATTAGGTACGACGTGGCGAGGGGTAAAGAGTGGTGTTGTTTATGTTTAGGTGGACTAGGCACTATACAGAAAAGAGGGTAAGTTGTAGGCGAGTGTAAAAGAGCGAAATGCAGCAGGCCGCGGTGGGGGAACGAAGGACAAGACGACAACCCGGCCGCAGGAGTACGTGATGTCGTCAAGGGAATTAAGAGGCGGCGTGAGGGTGAGCGAGCGAAGGGGCCGGCGAAGAAGGAAAGAAAGTAGTAGCAGCGCGGCAGAGACACACACAGGGCAAGAGCGACCATGCAGCCACGCTCGAAACGCCGGGGGGGGTGCCTTGCCAGGCCGAACCGTGGTTGTTGGTCCGTGCCACCTGTTCATCTTTCCTAGACAGACATTAGCCTTGGTCTAGCGCCAGGTACGCCGACGCCCTGATTGGCCACTCCATCTAATTTCCAGCCCATCTTGACGCTCGTCGCCTGCCCTGGTCTGCAGATGGGCCGCCCTACACCCCTTATCAACTATCAACTATCAGCAAATAGCCACGCACACCAACAGAGTTCGCTCTACGGTCTCGCGCTGACTCCATTCTTTCTCCTACTATGACGTGGCTAATGCATGCTGCGCCCTATCCCTCTTTCAATACCCGCCGGCGGCATGGCGTGCTTGCGGAGCAGCGCGGTAACACGACCCCAGGACCTACCAGCTCGTAATTACCGTGCGGCTCCATGGCACATACTGGCTGCTTTCTTGGGCCGGTCCCCGGCACGTCGTAATTTCGCCCGTCATCAAAGCGGCATGCCAGCGCCGCAATGCCACACCCGAGGCTAATGCCAGGCTGTATGCTTGCGACAGTGGCTGCGCTCGCGTGCTCTGCTCTATTGAACCATGTACAAATGTACAGGGTACTGTCCACATCACACTGCTTCATGACCGCACGCGGGGTATCAGAAGCAATCACATATAACAAGGATGCCTAGTGGCCGTTGAAGCCACCATAAATAACACCCATGTTCACAACAAACAAACAAAACATACCTCAACAGTTGCCAATACATTGTTCCGAACACGAGGCTGAGACGAGCGAGCTTCCGGCTATAACTTGGTGTTCCATGCTAGCTTCTGAAATAATATGCGTACAGAGGTCCACGCTATTTTAGCCAGGCCCAGTAGCGCTTAGGGGCGAAGATAGGAACCAGCCAATGCTTTGGGGCTGAGAACATTCTGCACCACGCACGACCTAACTCTCAGGATCGAAAAAGTTCTGAATATAAATGTACTATTTTGGGGATTAGTCATCAAAAATACCTCCAGCCTTCCTAGCTCAGTGGTAGAGCGCGTCACTAGTAATGACGAGGTCGTCAGTTCAATTCTGGCGGAAGGCATTCTTTTTGCCACACAGGGCTGGTCCTCCCCACAAACCACCATCATGCAACTTTTTGGGCAATATGAGCACAGTCATTTTTATCTACACCGTTATTGAGAATCACGCACCCAATTCCCAAGATATTTGCTGATCTGCTTGCAATCATTTGAATATCTAGTCGGTCCCAGACATGTCTTCAGCACAACCCTCGACTATTTCATACCACGTGAACAGTTCCTGTAAAATGCACTAAGCCCCAACATGGCCGTTGCTTGCTAGATTGTCGGACATTGTGCTAGTGCGGAAGAAGGTCCACAGCTCAGGTTGATACTTCACTTCGCAAATTGGAAATCCTCACCAGACCGAAAAAATATGTCATTTGCAGGCTGGATGCCTGGTACGGGAGTTCCTTACAATATATGTGAAGCGGTGTAGATAACAGTATAACATGGACCGTTGAGCAGTAGTTACTCAAACCAACGGAACCTCTGATGATGGTGGAGTCAAAGACCCTGTATGAAAGACAGTGACCCCATGGTTCGAGAGAGCGGGGCAGTCATCTCAAAATGTTTCCTCTACGGGTCACACAAGGTGGTTTGGTGGAGCGTTCGAGCGGTGTACGTATGCGAAGTGCTATCAGAGGCTGACTGATAGTTGGTGGGGAAAATCTTGAGAGCTTGGGCACAGGATAAGTGGGGCGAGCTACCTACTAGTGCCTAGTTGCCAATCCGCATCTTCTTCGCATCCCAACATCTCGAGATCTCGAATTCACATGGAAGCAGGAAAACCCAGTAATCGCGCGCCATAGCAACATCCCAAAACTTTCGCTGGGGTCGCGAAACTCAACTTATCAGGTCGCCGGGACGACCCGCACGGCTACACCACTCTGGCGTCTATTAGAGGTTCAGGATTCCGAGTTTAATTTCAGGAAAGGCGTCGCGTCTCGAACACATGGCCCGCACGACTCCTATTCAAAACAGGCCATACCGTTCGCACAAAGTACCAGCCTGTACAAGATGTCGTTCGCGAAAAATCCGCTGTCACATCGATATCCCAGGAGAACCGTGTCTATCGTGTCGAGAAAGACGACTGAAGTGTCAATATGTCGAGGGCTCCAGCACTAGTTCCCCTACCGAAGAAGGCTCAGATAAAAGGCCTTCAAAGCGACGCCGACACAGTGAGCCAGAGGAAGGGCCATCTAGGCCTCGCTCAGCCCCAATCTTACATAAGAATGTTAACAATCCCTCGGCATCCATCATGCTTGCGCCACATTTTGCGGAGGACATCGATATCTTCAATCGCCATATTTCGCAACATCGAAAAGCCGGCGGTGAAACTGAGCACTCCAACTACCAGACGTTATTGCACGATGCTAAAGATCCGGTCGTGTACCTTACGGTGCCGAGGTTCCGAACCGGTCTGCCACCCAACAGCGGCTGTGGAAGAGAGCAAGTGGAGATTGTAGAACAGATCATGGGGCCCTTCAGGCGAGAAGTCGTCGAACTTTACTTCAGTGAGATCCACTATCATCTTCCCATTTTAGATGACGAGATGTGCGAAACGTTACGAACGGACCAATACGCTAAAGTACCAAACAATCTGATGTGCGTCATCTATGCACTTGCATCGGCGCATTGGGCCAAATCAGATACGCTCAAGATGCATCCTAAACCAAATACATATTACGTTTGGAACAAGGCCATCTCTGCGACCCTGGAAGACTTCCTTAGCCCGGGCATGTCAACCATACAGGCCGCGGTGCTCGATCAAGTCGGCCGTCCTTCGGTCTCCATCATCGGCAACATCACTCTCTGTGGACGGACTGTATCTTTGGCACAAACTTTCGGCCTTCATAGAGATCCTTCAAAATGGTCGATTACAGAAAACGAAAAGTCACTCCGAATACGGCTGTGGTGGTGCGTTCTCATCACCGACCAATGGTCTAGTGTAGCATATGGCGCGCCCCCTTACGTTTCGAAAGGCTACTACGACGTTCCGCGGCCAACCGTCACATCACTCATCGGAAATAGGGCCAGCCCACAGGAGAAGCAAGCTACTACTTGTTTCATATATTTATGTGGCCTTACCGAATTACTCGCGGAAATCTTACCTTTTGTCTATCAGATCAATCCAGACCGGCTACAGCTCTCCCGGGAAATTGATCGCTTCAAACTAGAACTGAACGACCTGGAAGCACAGCTTCCAGAATGGCTTCCTCTACCAAATCGCCCAGGAACAGCTATGCTTTGGCTCTCATTTCTCTCAATCAGACTTGTTCTTGCCCGTGTAATATTCCGCGCAGCAGTTCTCGACGGTGATGGCAGCATTGGCCGAAATCGCATGGACCAATTACGCATCGCATCTTCGGCTGTTCTCGACTTCGTACTTGCTATGGGCGAAGCCCAGTTTCTGGACTTTTGGTTGCCATACGCAACTCATCTCTTGGTACATGCCATCACGGTATCACTTCGCTGCACCGTCGAGACGCAGGATTCTGAAATACGAAACACGTCTGTCACGCGCCTTGAACGCGTCATTGCGCACATCCAGCATGCGCGGGACAACTTTGACTGGGACATTGCAAATTACTGTTTAGAACGGTGTGCCGATCCAGTATCAAAGATTGCTTCGCTCAATGCAAGAGAGGTACCACAACCTTTGGAAACAGAGCCTACAAGCGTTGTCGCAAATGGCAATGGTGCCGAAATGCATGCGATGCCTAACTTTGATGACGCTTCTTTTCTGCTGTCGGATATCTTAGATCCTAACGCATTTGATTTCTCTTGGGATGCGTTGTGGGACACCCCGTCTGGCATGACAAATTTTTCCATCTGAGAGTAGATGAGCAGCGAACTATAACAACTTGGAAGAAGAAATGAACTGGTAGTTTCCGTGCGGGACGATCTATCAACTAATATCATGCTAATGAGTGGGAATAATTTGATATGCTTCTTTCTATCTGTAGTTATTCTTAACGAAGGTTCTACGATCAAGTATGATGGGCATTTAGATATTTGCTGTGCAAATTAGATTCAGTTCATATTCCTGACATCGACTGCATTTTCCAACGAAGACAAAAATTGCTCTTTCTACTCGTTTCTGATTCCATTGACTACTACATCTCCTTACGTACTCTGTGTGCTGTGTAAGCTGATGTTTTAGGACCGATGTCGTGATCCGCTAGTGGCTCTCCTTATTGGCCGTATCCCTAGCCTTAATGGTTGACCCACATCAAAGTCTGTAATCAGTCCACCTGAATGGGACCACTTGATCTGAACCTCACCTCCCCATCTGTCATTATAATCATTTTTTCTCTCTAACCAAGCCGGAAGACCCACAGGGGAGAGGATTGGAGTAACACGCCAACCATGTTCTGCACTCGTATTTCCAAATCAGCGGCACCGCGCTCCTTTGTCAAGTTCAGTCATGTGGTACCATCCTCCATTCGGAATCTTGCAACAGTCTCACCAGTGCAGACGGCTGCCCGCAATCACAAAATTGTCGTGATTGGCGGTGGCTCAGCTGGTATTGCTCTCTCGCACCAACTGCTTCGCAAAGGAAATTTCGCTCAAGACGACATTGCCATTGTTGATCCCGCGGAATGGCATCACTACCAACCTGGCTGGACCCTTGTTGGTGGTGGTTTGAAGAAGAAAGAAGAGCTCCGTCGCCCACTAAAGGACTTGATCAACCCCAAGTTCAAGTTCTACAATACAGCCGTAGGAAGCCTAAATCCAGATCAAAACTACATCACTACTGGTACCGGGGAGAAAATCGGATATGAGCAACTTGTCGTTGTACCTGGAATCACGCTGGATTACGGAGCCGTCCCCGGTCTAAAAGAAGCCCTGGAAGAGAAGGAGTCAATGGTTTCCACTATTTACGATTATGCATACTGTGACAAGGCGTATAGCAATGTTCAGAAATTCAAAAAGGGTGATGCGATATTCACCCAGCCAGCGGGCGTAGTCAAGTGTGCGGGTGCACCGCAAAAGATCATGTGGCTTGCGTTGGATTACTGGAAGAACGCTGGGCTGTACAACCCTACACCTTCCAGCGAATCTCCAATCAACATTGCCTTTGCAACTGGCTTGCCAAAAATGTTTGGTGTAGAGAAGTACGTTTTTCTGAAGAAAACCCCTCCAGTCCAACCTTTCTGCGCTCAATTCAATACTGATTGAACCCCACAGGTACAGCCAAACCCTCGAAAAGCTCCGTATAGAACGCGGCGTCCAAGGCCTCTTCCAACACGATCTAACCTCCATCTCCGGCAACACCGCCACCTTCAACGTCCCCAACCAAGATCCCGTCAAGCGCCACTTCGACTTCCTGCACGTCGCCCCCAAAAATGTTCCCTGGCCCTTTGTCAAAAACAGCCCCTTGGCAAACGAAGCTGGCTACGTCGCTGTCTCAGATAGCACAACGCAACACACCAAATATCCAAACGTCTGGTCTATTGGCGACGCCTCCTCACTCCCCACCAGCAAAACCGTCGCAGCCATCACCGCCGAAGCACCCGTTCTCGTGTCCAACCTACTCAGCCACATGCAAGGGAAGCAGCTAGAGGCCGATTATGATGGGTATACGTCATGCCCGCTTCTTACGGGACAGAAGGAGGTGTTGCTTGCAGAGTTCAAGTATGGGGGTGTGCCCAAGGAGACATTTGGGAGGGTGTTGGGAGTTGATCAGGGGGTGCCCAGGAAGGCATTTTATTGGCTGAAGAAGGAGTTTTTTCCCTGGGTGTATGGAAGGTATCATGTTAAGGGGGAGTGGGCGGGGCCGAAGGGGTTTGCCAAGTGAGTATAAGGGGAGTTGGGAAATAAGCCTTGGGTCACGTGGTTAGCAATGGATGAGGGGGTATGTGGATGTTTGGGGTTGAGAGGAGAGAGTGATGCTTCTTTTTCTTTACTTCTATTTTGGGCCGTATACTCCTTTGACTACTGCGACCATATTTCTTTATCGTAAGCAGTTAGGTCGGTAGTTCAGCAGACGTCATCAACGTCTTGGAGCTAAGCAAAATCCGGATCAAGAAGTAAAGAGGCAGGCAAATCTAGACATGGAGCAAGACAAGCGACGGGAATTGAACACGAGCTGCCATGTCGATGGCTTAGAGGGAG